TATATATATATATATATATATATATCTGTGTGTGCGCGCGCGCGCGCCGCAAGTCTAGGCATGTTGGTGGCGGGGTTACTGTAAGTTTTCTCAGATTAAGGGTTTGATCCCACTTTGGTGCGGGTGCTCTAAAATTTTAGGCACATGACGTGGGCTCTCACTATGGGGCCAAAAAGCGCATGAGAAATCGATATTTGGGTCTCTACCAAATATCAATTTCCTTTTAAGATATATATATATCTATCTATCTATGAGAATGTATGTACCTGGTTTAACTAATGATAAAGTTTAAAGTCTGTTTTTTATTATGGAGGATAATTGTAAAAATAGAAAGTCTAATTTTGAAATATGTTTTGATGGGGATTAGTTCGACGAATCAGAATGAATCGATTCGTATTAAACAAAAATCATACATCAATTGTAAGTTAAGCCGATGAATGGCATGACTATTTTTCATAAGAGCATGAATGTTCAAGTCCAGGGAATATCTTGGTTAAATTTGGGACCTTTACATGCACATATATCACGTATTTATTAAGTGTTTACATGTCTAACACGTAAATTTTATACATTTACATACATAACACTTAAAACTTTAACATCACACTAAAAATATAGTAATTTTTTTTATTTTCTAAATGTAAATTACACAATGTTATGCATAGGCTTAGGTATTAGTTTTAATTTAAAAATGCATATGAATTGTGTGTGAACAGAGGATGAGAGAGGAGTATAAAGATAAAAAGAAAAATATATCCATCTCTTTTTATTATATTTCAAATATTACATACATCCAATTTTTATAGAAAGAGGGGTGACAAACTTATAATAACTATTAAGGGTAAATAAATAAATATCTGACACTTATTTACGAAATATAAGCTATAGGTGAGAGAAACCCTTGCAGAAAATGAAGTTTTAGCATTTGGTGAGCTTGCTTGTAATTAGTCGATGGCGAGTGCCAAGAAGCGATTTTGTGAATAGATCAGCTGGTTGGTCTTCGCTCATAATATGTTGAAGATCATGTTGTTGTAGCTAGAATGATCATGAATAAAGTGGTAGTCGACCGCGATATGTTTTGTGTGTATGAAAAACTGGATTGTGAGCTAATGCTATTGTCGATGTGTTATCCCTGTAGAGTTTGGTTGTGTTAAATTTTTATTTGTGAATCACATTTATTTTAATAACTTATCAGATTTATTTTAATAACTTATATTATTTATTTTTTATAACTCATAACTTAAGTTATTTATTTTCTTAACTCATAACTTATGTCATAATAAAAGATAACTTAAGTTATTTATTTTTATAACTCGTAACTTAAGTATTTATTTTCTTAACTCATAACTTATGTTATAATAAATGATAACATAAGTTATTCATTTTTATAACTCATGAAAACTTATGTTATTTATTTAATAACTTATGTCATAACTTATTATAACTTGTGATATTTATTTTTGTAACTCCTATAACCCCTAAAATGAATAGAAGTTACTAACTTATGTCATTGATTTTAATAATAAAATTAATTAATTTATTAATTTATCATAAATATTATTGGTTAGTAACCCCCTGATAGATGGTGGTTAAATAGAGCATAATTCAGAGAATGAGACATCTCTCTTCCTAACACACTCGTACATTTCTCTATATCAGAATGAATAAAATGTTTCAAGGGATTAGAGAGAGAAACTCTATCTCTTCAAGATCAAATTTCTTCAATATCAAATTTTATCATCATGAATACAAGTATGTGTTACTTTATTATGGATATGTAAAAAGTATGAGATTAAGAAAATTATGGCTATTATATATTTTTAGAATTTGTGTCAGAAAGTTCAAATAAGAATTTCTAACATTATGATTTAAGAATTTCTAACATGATATAAGAATTTAAGAAAATAAGAATTTCTAAAGTTATGTGTTACTTTAAGAATTTCTAACATGTGGTATCAGAGTCTTGATTACTAAAGTTATGATTTTTCATATAATATTATTTATGTTAATTTTATTAAATTTCCACTATAAATTAGATTACCAAAGTAAATTGATGTGATTGAAATTATTATTAATTTAATGTCTATGTAATGTTTAATTTGTTAGTCAATAAAGTGACCAAATTAATAAATTTAATAGACATTAAATTAAATAAATTCAGTTACTCACGAGTTTGTGATGCTTGTTATGAAATAATTTAACGTTTTATTAAAAAAATATTAAAATTCATTGATTATAAAATATTTTTAGATCGCCCAAAGGTTGATCATTTGTTTTATAATCATTGAATATAATTGTAGTCTATTTATATACTAAGTTAAGATATGTTTATATATCCAAAGATAAAAACACAATCATCTCATAGGTTCTGGTATTCTTTGTGATGGATTATATAAGCTTAAACTTGATAACATTTTCTCTGAGAATTTGATGACTTTGCATCATAATATTGGTACTAAACGTGGTTTTATGAATGAAAGTTCAACTTATTTGTGGCATAAACGTTTGGGTCATATATCCAAAGAAAGAATTGAAAGATTAGTAAAGAATGAAATCCTTAATGAATTAAATTTTACTGATCTTGGTATCTGTGTGAATTGTATTAAAGGAAAACACACAAATCACACACTTAAGAAAGTCGCCACAAGAAGCACACAGCTCCTTAAAATTATACACACTAATATTTGTGGACCCTTTGATGTTCCATCTTTTGGTGGAGAGAAATACTTTATCAACTTTATTGATGATTTTTCACGTTATGGGTATGTTTATTTATTGCATCAAAAATCTCAAGCTATATATGTCTTAAATGTGTATATAACTAAGGTTGAGAGACAATTAGACAGAAAAGTGAAAATTATCAGGTCTAATAGATGAGGTGAATATTATGAAACTTACAATAAATCTTGACAATGTCCAGTTCCATTTGCTAAATTCCTTCAAACTAATGTCATATGTGCTCAATAAACTATGCCAGGAACACCACAACAAAATGATGTTGCAGAAAGACGAAATCGTACTCTAATGGAAATGGTTAGGAGTATGATGAGTAATTCTTTTTTACCCTCATCATTATGGATGCATGCTTTAAAGACCGCTGCATATTTATTAAACAGGATTCCTAGTAAAACAGTTCCGAAAAACTGTGGGCAGGAAGGAAACCTAGTTTAAGGCACCTGCGTGTTTGGGATTGCCCAGCGAAAATAAGGTTATATAATTCACATGAAAAGAAACTGGACTCAAGAACAACCAGTGGTTTCTTCATTGGTTATCCAGAAAAATCTAAAGGGTTTAGATTTTATTGTCCTAATCACAATACAAGAATTATTGAAACTTGAAATGCTAAGTTCATTGGAAATGGTGAAGTTAGTGAGAGTTTGGAACCACATAAAGTGGAGATCCAAGAAATTATGGTTTAGGTTTCTTTACCTAAAATTTTGTATTTATATTTTTTTCTCAAGTTGTTATTCCTACAGTTATTGAAGATTTTGACAACTTATAAGAACAACAAATATATGATCATTATTGAAGATTTTGACAACTTACAAGAACAACAAATATATGATCAAATACCCCACAATGAAACTGTCACTTATGAACCTACATTAGATGAACCCCATGAAGTATTACCTAGAAAGTCTCAACGATAAAAACGGTCTGCTATTTCCGATGATTATGTGGTTTACTTCATGAATCCGAATTTGACTTAGGAGTCAATGAAGATCCAGTTTCATTTTCACAAGCCATAAAAAGTGCAAATTCTTCTAAATGATTAGATGCAATGAAAGATGAGTTGAAATCAATGAATCACAATAAAGTCTGGGATATCATTGAATTAAAAATCGTTGAATTGTCTGAAGGTTGTAAAAGAGTCGAGTGTAAATGGGTCTTTAAGACTAAGCGCGATTCGAATGACAATATTGAACGATATAAAGCCAGAATTGTTGCCAAAGGTTTCACTCAGAAAGATGACATCGACTATAAAGAAACATTTTCTCCGGTTTCTAAGAAAGATTCATTTAGAATTATCTTGACACTAGTAGCTTATTATGATTTGGAGTTACACCAAATGGATGTGAAAACTGCATTTCTGAATGTGAATTTAGATGAAGAGGTCTACATGAGTCAACCTGAAGGATTTTTGGTTGAAGGAAAGGAACACATGGTGTGTAAACTTAAGAAATTAATATATGGACTTAAGCAAGCTTCCCGACAATGGTATCTTAAGTTTAATTATATCATCACGTCCTTTGAATTTAAGGAAAACATTGTTGATCGGTGTATATATCTAAAGGTCAGTGAGAGCAAAATTATATTTCTTTGTATGTTGATGCTGGCTACTAATGATCTTGGCTTATTATATGAAACCAAGAATTTTCTCTCTAAGAACTTTGAGATGAAAGATATGAGTGAGGCATCCTATGTGATTGGAATTGAAATATTTCGTGATAGATCACAAGGATTGTTAGGGCTATCTCAAAAAACATATATCGAAAGAGTTTTTAAGAGATTCAATATGGAAGGCTGCTCAACAAGTGTTGCTCCAATTCAAGGAGATAAATTTAGCTTTATGCAGTGTCCAAAGAATGATTTGAAACATAAACAAATAGAAGAAATTCCTTATGCATCTATTGTTGGAAGCTTA